GGTGAAGTTATATTCTGCTCTACTTCAACTCAATTGACACCTCTCCTGAATTCTCACTTAAATATTAGTCAAAAAGGATTTTGTGAAGCCATAATGTAAGCAGTAAAAACAATGGTTTTCTCCAGCAATTTGTGGGGGAAAAAATCATATATTTGAAGATATGAACCTTTCATCTCTTCATGTACACAAAAAATAATGAAGGTGTAATGAAGCTTTTATGCTGTTTCGACTGAAAGACCCGACCAGAACAACTGTAGAGGAGTAAAGGGTTATTTAGGGGCTCACAGTTTCAGAAGTCTTAGTCCATAGAAGGCTGTCTTCATTCCTTGGGACAGGAAGTGATGCAGAACATCATGGCGGAAGAGTGTGGCAGAGAAAGCAGCTCACATTATGATCAGGTAGCAGAGAGAGAAACTCCACTCTCCAGATAAAAAATATATACCCCATAGCTGTGCCCTCAATGAGCCACTTCCTCCAGCCACAACCCACCTGTCTCCAGCTCCCACCCAGTTAATCCCATCAGACATCAATCCACTGATTAGGTTAAGGATATAACCAAATCATTTCTATTCCAAACCTTCTTGCATTATCTCACATGTGAGCTTCTGTGGAACACCACATCTAAACCATAAAAGAAAGGTTATTATATTATGCAGCTGTATCACTAATTGCTTCCTCCCTCACATTGATTAAGCCAACCCAAACTCCATCTAAAGAATCTTGAACAATTTCCACTAATTGAACAAACATTTAATTTTTACCTATTATAGTCTAAATATATTAAAAGTTGAATGTTCCCAGCTCAAAACTTCAAAATGCTCCTAAATTTAAGGTTTTTTTTTTTAGAATGCTCATGATGCCACCCACAGAAAATTCCTAACTCACTTCATAAGTTGTAGAAAAATGCAATCAAACCCAAAATATTGCAGGAATTATCTTCAAACTTGTGTATGAAATACACATGAATTTTCTGCTTAATCTTGAGTTCCAACCCAAAGATATCACATACATGATAATGTTTCAAAATCAGAAAAAAAAATCTAAAATCCAAAACACCTTGAACCTAGCATTGTGGATAAGGGATAATCAACCTATAATCAGATAATTGTGGTATCTATGTTTGCGAATTCTTTATCCCATTCTTCTCCATGCTCACAGATATTTATTGCTTCAGCAGATGTTGATCTAAAAAATATATCATTAATCAGTCTTAAAGACTACCGAGGACTAAATGTGGAAATATACTTGGTTGACAATGTTTAGCCAATTACCATTTACATGTAAAAAAAAATCCCTTCCTATTTCCTATGACATTATGGAAAAAGCATGGTTGTAGCTTAAAAATGTGTTTAAAAAAAAAAAAAAAAAACACTGTCCTACTCCCCCGCTTTTCATGCTTCTCAACTGTACTAGAAATCTACTGGTCTTTTATTGATGTTGTAATTTTGGCAGCAAGGAAGACTGAATTGGTATGTGTGTTAAACTTGGTTACATATATATTTACACAAGCAAAAAACTGAGGCAAGTAAAATAGAAATAAAGAAATACACTGATATAACAATCAGTATTAGTTACAGAGGAAAAGAACTTTGAGTTCACTGAAGAAGAGAAATTCAATAAATGAAATATAATATTTTTGTAACCTTAGTAACACTAAATTCCAATATTATGAAATATTTACTATGCAAAAGTGCTGTGACTGATGTGCCAACAGTGTCTGTAAGTGACTGTTACTCCAGAGGCCATTCTGCAGCCGTTCTGCAGATTCATCAAATAGTATCAGAGACCTTGTGAGTCCTAAGTATACAAATCATTATTATTCTTTTTGTTCTGAATTTTCTTAGAACTTCATCCTGAGTACTCTACTGTGAGATGTGGTGATACTCATAAGATTGCTGTGACCTATGCAATAAAATGGCTAAATATTTTACCAAGACATACATAAATAAAGTTAACAGTGGTGTCCACACAAAACCCAATCTCAGAAAACTGAAATTCAAGAATGTATATTATTTTCATGTGCTCAGGAATGGAGGAGTCACAGAGTGTGGCCACAGACTTAATCTTAACTGTTTTATAGTAGCTCCTTCAAAATCATTGTATAAGTAGTAATCATTGTTATAATAACATTTTAGGAAGACAAAAGCAAAGAAGACAGTTTATTTATTTTTTTTTAATTTTTTTATTGGTTGTTCAAAACATTACAAAGCTCTTGACATATCATATTTCATACATTAGATTCAAGTTGGTTATGAACTCCCAATTTTACCCCATATACAGATTGCAGAATCACATCAGTTACACATCCACATTTTTACATAATGCCCTATTAGTAACTGTTGTATTCTGCTACCTTTCCTATCTTCTACTATCCCCCCAATCCTCCCCTCCCATCTTTTCTCTCTACCCCATCTACTGTAATTCATTTCTCACCTTGTTTATTTTCCCGTTCCCCTCACAACCTCTTATGTGTAATTTTGTATAACAATGAGGGTCTCCATCCATTACCATGGAATTTCCCTTTTCTCTCCCTTTCCCTCCCACCTAATGTATCTGTTTAATGTTTATCTTTTCTTCCTGCTCTTCCTCCCTGCTCTGTTCTTAGTTGCTCTCATTATATCAAAGAAGACATTTGGTATTTGTTTTTTAGGGATTGGCTAGCTTCACTAAGC